ACTCTGAGATCATAAAACTGATGTTCAAATAATCGTCAGCCTAACAAAAATGATTAATGTTTGAATTTTTTAATTTAAAATTTTAATTGAAATTCAGGATAAGTTTTTTTTGTTGTGCCGTTTGGTCTGGTTTTAAAGGTACTCATTGCAATGTCATGAAGATTGGTCAAAACATAATAAATAGATGATACTGATGGTTAATGTGTTCTTAAATTAATAATTAGTGACCTGCTGTGTTTGTTTATCAACAGAATCAGCCAAAGTGACAGAAAATATGTTAATAATGTCCATAGAAGAAATCCCACAATTTTGATGCATTGATGCGTATGTACGCTCGGGTTTGTTGAGCAGGTAAAGGTGCTTTGTTTACATTGAGTGCGTACCCGTCTTTCAAAGTTGCATATCATATCTGGAAAACTCCTGCAATAAACTTGTTCAAACGGCATCATTTGAGAACATTCTGAATAACTTTATGTTTGAATTCATAGTTTGCAATGAGTACCTTTAAATTGTCCACATAAAGTTTATTTAGCAGTTTTTTCTTAGAGTAAAACTAGAATGGAACTTAAAACTATGAAAAGTCAAATCCGTATCTGCCTGAAATGCTTAGTTTTAGTTTCTCGTTCTTTAAGGCTTTCTGAAATTTCCATTCTGTTCAGACTGGGTTTTACAAAAATGACAGACTTGGACTACAAAGAAAATGCAGGTTCAGGAATAGTTTCTGCTGTGGGAAAGAAAAACCGTTCCTGTGAATTAAGATCTTTGTAACAAAAAAGAAAAAATAAGAAAGAAAAGCAAGAATCCAACAAAAAAAAGAAAAATATGCCGCTCCCACTATTTTCATCCTATCCTAAAAGAGTAACTGTTTTAAGTCATTAATCATTACAGATTGTTACGAATCACAAATGGAGCGGGCAAATCTCAGTGATAATGAGCAGTCGGACCAAAGCAATTTATCTAAACTGACTTTGTTTGTGTCTGTCTGCCCCCACATACCCAGCAGACCTGCAGTGGGAGAAAATAATCTGTTTTTTTTTTTTTTTTTTATCTCAGGCAACATTTCTTACTACCACCCTTAACTGTAAACATGTTCCTTTTGTGATTATAAATAAGAAAATTAAAAATTTAAATTAAAACAAAACAACAGGTAAATGGCTCTTTTACTTGTTTTTCTTTTATACAGTGTAAAACGTGTTTGTAGATGATCAATCTTTACGACCCCAGAGCTCATCCTAAAATGATTTAAGATACACACCGTTGTTTTTTAGTTTTTCCCTGAATGTTTTTTACAATCTATTTTCCATTTCTGCTGTTTTATTGATTCATTAATCAATCTAGATCTCAATTTCCTCAAAAACATTGTTCTCCTTGAAATTGGTTTTAGCATTTTTGCTCTATTTTATCTTTGCTTCTTTTAACTTTTAGCTGCTATTGTGCTACTTTTAGCTAGTTACTTTTAGCATTTGGCTACTTTTAGATTGTAGCTACCATTTAACTACATTTGGCTTTTGGTTACCTTCAGCTATTAGCTAGCCTTTTGTTACATTTAGCTTTAGTGATTTTGCTACTTTTAGTTTTTTAGCTAGCATTTTGCTTCTTTTATCTTTTAGCTCATGCTTTGCTCTGTGTAGTTTATTGTTTTGCTTCTATTAGCTGCAACAACACAAATTCAGCAAAGCCATTCAGCGCTCATGCTGCATCTTTACAGAAAAATCATTTACTCTCTGATTTTTTAAAACACAGTAAAAGTTGGCCTTGTAATACAATATGCAGCACGGACGTCACACAGACTTCAGCATGTTCTGCTGAGCGTTTGAAAGCGCCTGCCTCCTCCTGACCCGGCTTTAGAGAGCTTAAACTCCCAAATTGGTGACTTAATGTTGGAAAGAAAGGAAGCGGATCTATAGGCTAAGCTAATAAGTTTGAACGAGCAGCCCGAAGCCAACAAAATTAGCATTAATGAGCCGAGCAGTTATTAGCCTCCGTTGTAAAGTTAGTTTGGTGTGAAGTTGTTTTGCAGTTGAAGCAGGAAAAAAGCTGCAGACATGGTTCCAGTTGAGATAAGTGCTCCCAGTTTAACGTCTTTTATCAGTACTCTCTTTGGTTCTTTAATTTAGATTCTTTTGTTTTTAGCATTTAGCATAATTTAAAGTGTCTTGTTAAGCCAGATGGGGAGCATTGGTCATCTTGGGAGGTCTTTTTGGACAACACTTTTTTTTAAAAACGAATAATGTTCATGCTGTCAGTTTATTAGTTTTAGGTACTTAGGTACAAAGCATTTACCAACGTTTGCCGCCTGGTCTCTGGTCTTCTCAGATTCTGTTGACATTTGACCTGGTGTTTGGAGGTCGTGGATGAGCTTGTATGGAATGATGACTGCAGACTTCTTGTTATGTTTGAGAAGCACTGGGAATTTTTTTGGAAACTAATGAACACTGATTGATTGTGAGGGATTATTTTATTTAAATTTAAAGGTAATTCGATTCTTCAAGGTGACTTTGGATGGAAGATGAAGGCACACTCTGCTAATTGAAGGCTCTTCGCTGTGCACTTCTAAATGCAGCCCCAGAGAGATGCTTCTTAGGATTAAATCTTCTAACACAACTCTCTTTATTTATCTTCTTGTAATGGAGGGGGCGAGGGGAAAAAAACATGTTTACGTTTTCTCTTGTGTGAGCCCACAGAAAACACGTAGTTCTCTGCCTTTTGGAGTCAAATAAACGAGACATTTACAGGAAACGGTCCCTTGTTTGTGCTGTCAAAGGTTGGGCTGTCCTTGTGTTTGTCCTGGCACAGCTGTCTGCACCTCCTCACCCTCATCTCTCAGTGTCCTCCTGCTTCTGCTAGTCACAAAATGAGGACAAAATGAAAATAATGATGCTGGATGCACCTAACAGCACCACCAATCATTACGCCGTGATACATTACCGCCATCCAATACACTTTAATTTGTTGCTGGACAAATGACAAAACATTGCAAATGTACATTAAAAAGGGAGTTTAATGAAAGTGACACAGCAGTTAGCATAATTTATGACAAAGTTGAGAGGCATGAAGTACACTTTGAGCTGTGCTGCCCTTATTTACCTACACTAATAACATGGCCCTAATCTCCATTTAAAAAACGACCGTCCGGTGCGAAGACAGAGAGCCCCCCCGGCTGCTTATGTCGCACCGTCCGGGGACCACCTTCGACTGATGAAGTTTTAAATTAAGTCTTCATAATTAAAAAGGTTCTCTGTGGCAGTTTTGTCCCGCAGCGAGCGTGAACGACAGAGCTGCGGACATGGTCAGGCATAAATCAGAGTCGCTGGAGGTCAGCGCGACCACAGCCAGAGTAGCACCTCTGTGATAGATGCCCCCCTGCTGAGAATGGCTTAAACGAAGCAGAAAGATGTGTGCTGAAGATAATGGCTGTTATTATGGAAGTGTGGGCAGAGTCGAGTTGGGGAGTTGCACCTTATGTCAATGAGCTCAGAGGCTTAGAAAGAGACCTGAAAAATATTCAGCTCTTTGGTGCAGAAAGTACACAGAGTACAAAAGTTTATTAGGGCCATTCAAAAAAAAACTATTAAGAAGGATTTTTATTTTTGTCACTAAGTTTTGTCCATATTTGTGCAAATAACTAACAGAACAAAAAGCATCTAATTCAAAACGCTCTTTACCACTTAAAGTTTGCATTAAAAATTACCGTATGACAACTAATGATATTTGCATTTTAAAGGAAAAAACCAAGAAAGGTTAGTATCTTCTGCAATGATGTTTTCATGGTATAATTTTAGAAGCTTGAGAAATCACAGAGTTGTAGCTGTTCTGGTCAAACCTTTGAAATGACAGTATTGTAAATGTCATCTACTACCACATCAACTTGTAGCCCAATATCTGTAAAAATGACTTGAAATTATAGTAATTTTTGTGTTTGCCAATGTGAATTAGCTTGGGAATAGGTTGTAGATGAACATCCAATGATAACTTTCTGTTTGTTTTATTAAAATTAGTCTTTTAGTTCATGAGACCGAGGCCAGAAGCAGCACATACAAGTAAAACTAGAAACTGCTTAGTGGTAGCTAGTGGTGAGCAGCACTAATCGAAAAATTAGTTCCACTAGCCCAGTGGTGGGCACAGTTCCCTTAAAGCACTAATAAGGGAACTAATTTCCTGATTAGTGCTTTAGGGATTTTGCTAATTTTAAAATTTATTAGTGGATTAGCACTTGCTAAATTTATGGGCTAAATTTAGAAGCACAAACTGAGGTCTATAAATGTTATTGATCAACATTAATGTTAACAGCTGA